CCCGGCCTGTGCTGATGACGATGAGGAGTCACCAGGAAGAAAGGGAGGGAGGGCAGGCACTTCAGGCAAAGGTGTGACATGTGCAAAGGCCAGGAAGTATGAGCAAGCAGGGTGACTCAGGATCCGCAAGGCCCCTAGTACAGCGGGGGGCAGGGGGCGGGGTGGGGCCACACAGGAGGGCAGGGTGGAAAGGGCAGCCACAGAAGGATTTTTCTAAACAAGGGAGTGACAGCAGCAGATCTGGGTTTGGGGAGGAATGTTTGGCATCTGAGTGACACGGTCGGATCTGGCTTCTGGAAGGAATGCTTTGGCTTCTGAGGCGAAGGTAGACCGGAAGAAAGTCTGGAGGAATCCTGGCACAGGTCAACTTCCGGGGGGCCAGAGGGGAAACCGTGTGAGGGGTGGGGTGGGCTGCTGGAGGCCTGGGTCCTTCCCCTCTAAAGTATATGAGGACTTCGGTCCAGGGGCTGGCAACAAAGAATAGGAGGTAACGGGTGAATGCAGCGAGTGTCCCCTAAACCACAGCCAGGTGAGCCGAGGTCAGCAGGGCCCTGAAGTGACTTGGGTGATACCTACTCTCTCCCCACACGGCACCACCACCACCTTGAGACAGGCATACAAGGTGCGGAGGGCTGGGTACCTGACACTTTGGACAATGGGGCCGCAGGGCAGAGTTCTTGGCAGTGGGCACCAGCGTGGGGATGGGCGAGGACAATCACGTTGCCCCCAGCCTGCCTAGAACCCGTCTTTGGGGATGCTAACCGCAAGTTCCTCCAAGGGTGCTTAGGGCCCTGGCCACCCATCCCGTCCCAGAGAGGTGGCTATTGGAGAGGAAGGCAGATCAGCCTGGAAGCAGGATCTCAGAAGACGGTCCTTAGCCCACCAGCATCAGAAATCTCTGGCATGTTTGTTAAAACCCCAAAGCCCTCAGCCGACCACAGACTGTCCGAATTGCATCTGGGGGTGGGGCCCTGGAACCTGCATATCTAACATGGGCACCTCAGTTTGAGAAGACAGCTCTACGTCCCCCTTGCTCTTGGGGCATCATCTCCCGGCAGCCTCTGGACATTCGGCCAGGCCTGCCTCCCAGACCCTGATGGACGCAGCCTTCTGGGTGACGGGTACCTCCTAGGTACCCCTCCATCTGGCCCCGGCAACACTATCACCCTGAGGCTTCCGGCTCAGAACTTGGGCTCTGGGCTTCCTGCCAGAGTCTGGAGGTGCACAGCAACGGCCCCACCTGCAGCTC